TCACACATACAACACTTACCGCTTTAGCGACTCCTTCATTGATCTTCTCCTTCACCCTGACAGGATCTAATCCACGGAATACTGGGATATGGATTCTGGAATAAGCACCGTCACAGGGTTTGGGAATTTTCTGACTGTATGGCTGTGAATTGGGATTTTCCTAAAGCACAAAACAAATAAATGAAACATTAAAAGTAACAATACACTGCTAGCTTATCCTTCTAAGATCAATCATTCCCACTCCTACCCCCACCAGACATGTGTATAAAAAAAAAGAAAAAAAAAATTTTTTTTGAAAGCGAAAAATGTAGTTAAAACCCTGGGTCCAAGACTGAACTACTCTACTGTAAAAATTGTTACTGCTTTTAGCTCATCTTTTAAGCTATTATAAAGTACATTACTTATTATTCAGAACAAACATGTAAAACTCGCTTACATTTATGTACATGTGTTTGGCTATTTCCTGGATACTGTGCAACATTCGATCTGGTTTTCTATTTTCTTGTAGCAGTGTTTCCTGGATATTTGCTGACACCTGAATCGCATGAAATGGTAAATAAAACAATGATACCGTTAAAGTCCTAATATAAACCGCATACGTAATAGTAACCGCACCCCAATTCCGGCTTCGGGGTTAAAGAGTTCTCAACAAAAATTGAAAACTTGAAAAGTACCTATTACTAACCGCACCCCCAATTCAACAAGACCGTGACTGACTTCATTGTTTCAACCAGCTGTTCCAAAACGGCATTGTTCCTAATCCTATTCATTTGTTTCGACAACATGCCTAAAAATATTCACACCTATTTATTGTTCAGCGGTGATAAGATGTCAGACCACAGGCGGTCAGACAGGCAATGAAACTGCTTTTGTTCTGGCGGCGACCTCTGTCAATACTCTTTCTGAATACGCCTGTGTTTCGTAAGTTTTAGACAATGAGCTTTTATCAGCGTAAAAGTGTTAAACTGAGCATTGAAGAATAATTTATCTTTCGAAAACAAATAATTTCTTGATTTAAAAAAAAAAATCATGCCGTTTTCCCATGGAAATCAAAGGCAAAAGGTCGCGCTACATTATCGGTAAATCTCTTCCGTGTTGCGTTCACCATGAGGTCGCTGACTGTCATTAACATATTCAAATGAGCTATGTAATTTAGACACGTGGGCACCCTCCAGCATTTTGATTGGTTATTAGCGACCTATCCGGTCAATAATACGTCACGTGAGCATTCAAAAACATGCTGGATATCGTATCGGCTGTTTACATGTGACTGAAATCATTCGCTTACGGGGAAACTAAGTTGAATTTTACTTGCATTTTATAAAAATTCAACGAATTTATTATTTGTGCGTTATTGTAATCACTACTAAATAATAATCACCAATATCTACACTTCGAAAACAAGTAAGTTATTCACTTGTGACCCGCAGCATGGCCGGATCGAGCTACCGTTATGTGATCATTTGCTACTACCGTAAGCAGTGCATTTGTGTTTTTATTTGAAACTTCTGTTAGAATATACTTTTGTTACCAAGAAAATTAAAAATGCATATTACATTAAAAATACTGAGTACTTTTTTGTATCATGTGGAATTTTTTTTTGATTGACTGTAATTTTTCAACATTTCGTAACGCCTATTTTAGAACCAAAATAAGGCCTTTCACTCTTCCCCGACGCCTATTCAAGAGATTGTACGGTGTATTGTTTGTTTTGTGCATGTGTTGTGGACAAAAAATGACCACGCCCATTTAGTGATTGCAATATGTACGTAATAGAAACCGCACCCCGAACTTGAGCTTTTCATCCCAATTTTTAAATTGATACATTGTAATATAAACCGCGGTTTATAATAGGACTTTAACGATAATAACAAATGCAGGTCTTTTGTCCAGCAATGTACTATTTACTTCGTTTATCCTGTGATTAAAATTAAATTACCGGATTCCGCCGTAAATTCGCCCAGGGCCGGCAGTTCGGGTTTTTAAAAATATAAAATGGGACCAAGAAACCACCCAGGGAGATTTTTCTGCAGTTTATTAAGGTGTTATTTTAATCTTTTCTGATGCCTAAAAGTTTCGCCTATTCAAGAGTATTGATGTTTATTGGGTTAGCTCCGTTTCGACAATGAGCTGTTATCACTGTAAACAATGTTAAATTATTTTTCAAATGCTTAATTTATCTTTTGAAAACAACTAATTTTTTTATTTAAAAAACAAATCATGGCGCTTTCCCATCAAAATCCAAGCCAAAAGATCATGCAACAACATTGGCAAATCACTTCTGTGCTGCGTTCAATAACATTAACATATTTAAATGAGCTATGGTAATTTGAACATGTTGGCATCATCCATCGTTTTCATTGGTTAATTATTGATTTGACCTATTAGGTCAAAGAACACCATTTCACGTCAAAACATGGCAGATATTCATTTCTACAGAATCGAGCGTTGAAAATGCAATTGGAATCATTCGCTTACAATGAAATAAGTTGAAATTTATTTGCATTTTATAACAATTCAACGAATTTATTTTTTGTATGTTATTATAATCATTACTAGGTAATAATCAACAATTGTGAAACGCACATGACCGGATTGCGCTACTGCGATCATTTGCTACTAAGCAATGCAGTTGTGTTTATTGTTATATGAAACTTTTTTTAGAATATACTTTCGTTACTAATAAAATGAAACAAAATAATTGTATTTGGCGCACGAGGTTCGTTAATGTGATTTTTTTAGAGAAAGATGCACGGTCTACTTTTCAATCCAGCTAGAAAAAAATGTATACAATTTTAGATTAGCTTCTGCAATAATTTCATTCGTTTTGGGTGGTCCAACTGCCGATGTTGAAAATCGGCGTAGGTGGATTTTTCAATGAAAATATAAGCCCCCTAAAAATATTTGATGATAATTTTTTGAAAATTTTAACCCCAATAAGGGCCCACCAGCCGTGAAACCGTGATTTTTCAGATGGGCGAATTTACGGCAGAATCCGGTACTAACTGGTAATTCAAAAGCTCACCTCGTCAAAGATGTCGCAAATCCTGAATGGCGGCCCCCTCTCTTGTACAAAGGTATTAAATGACATGCCGCTCAATACCTTTTGTAGAAGATCATCTCCTGCCAGGCCTCGCTCGAAGAGAAAAAGTCCCTATTAAAGTAGCAGCAATGAAGAAGAGAAGAATCAATTATTAGTAAATAAGAAAAAATAGAAATTGACCAACAAATTTGTTTCCGGTCAAGATCTTTAGTTTGTTGTTACTCTTAATCTAGATAAAGTCAAGGTGTGAAGTAAAAATACCTTATGAAATGTGATCACTGGCTCGGGATGGATTCGAATGATTGTCAAACACGACCTGTAACCCATGAATAATTCGGCAAACAATCGAACAAAAATGGCGCGTATTTCCTTATCTAGCATTTGTTGAATTGATTGTGACTGCGATGGCGGTGGGAAAGCGTGGTCTGCATTCTGCAGGTCTGGACTCAATACCTTTGTGGGAGTGAATAAGTTTGTTTGGTTAATATGTCTCCTGGCATAGAAAAACTTAAGTATGTAATACTAAAGCTACAAAAAGTGATCAGAATTGAAATTAGACCATACAATGAACAGTTTGTATAAATCATAGATGTGTTTTCAGTTCCAAGTATGTTTCCTGGTAGCCATGTTAATGAGCGTTCGCAACAGAAATGGAATCAATTTTATAAATGGTCATCCAGGAGGTTTGTTTCAGTTTTTAACAAATTTAACAGACATGCTTGTATGTATTCTCCAGAATAACTTACAAAAGTAGGTATGGATTCCAAGACATTGTAAATGTCATTTTTTGTCTTTGCATTGTGTGTGTGTATGAATGTAAAACATGTTTTCTAGAATATATGAAAAGTTTGTAAATTTTCAAAGGTAACGTGGATCAGAATTGAAATTAGCCTACAAAAAAGAATCAAAATGTTCAGAACAAAATCGAAGGTAAATCACATATGCTTATTACATAATTTGAAAAAGTTCACAGGGATACAAAGCTCGCAAACGTCACAGTATCAAATTGTTTTCTCAGACTCAAAAAAAACATTTGTCTTTCATTAAAACTTACCATTGTTAGCTCTTGATGTACTCGATTATAAATATGATCTGGCAGCAGCGGAAGGTTCTGATGTTCTGGTATAGATATATATCCACCATCAAGATCAGCCACGATCACATCCAACTTTAAAAAAAAAAAATAAAAAAAAAAATAAAAAAAAAATTATCATTAGCATAGACATTTGCTATTTGGATAAAAAAAATTTGCGAATACAAGTCTTGGAGTGAATGAATAAATTTGGATTTGGTTGAGGCACATCTTTGTTGATGACATGGGAACTAAAAAACAGGTCAAGTTAAAGAAAGTAATACAAACAAGCAAAATTACTCGGTAATAAATTCCTGTGTTATTTAACATCCTCTAGATGCATTCACCATGGTTTGTATGTATTAAACAGAGGATCTGGCAGGTTTTTTTTCATTTAAACAAAATAGGCATTTCACTCCAGTACTTGCATGCTTCAAAGCATGAATACTATTACTCAGTGAAATATTGGAAGACATTATGCGCCATGTGATTACTATATTATTGAGCACAAAACAAGTCTCTGAACTCAAAACTGTACTGTATGGGAAATATAATTTGAATGTCCCGCCAATTGTTAGCTATGTTTTACCTGATATTTTAATAGAACATGTATATGCTAACATCTTATGTTCACCATTGTCTGCCTTGAAAGAATACATTGTCAGTTTGAATTAATAAACAAGTGATTGACAGACAATTTGAAGCATTTCATGTCTGTTTAAAAATGCCTGCTCATCAACTTTTAAATGAGAATCATACCTAATTAAACAAACGACAAAGCCATACTCTACAAATATACATGATTGTAAGTGAATGTATAAAAAACGCATTCTGATAATCGAAAAGATAGATTTCACCGAGAACTTCGACCAGACGCACCACAATCCAGTGTGATTTGCATACTGAAATTTGGTCGCCATCTTTGCTTTTATACATGTCGTAGTATGCTACTATCTAATCATGGTTTGTGCTGCGTCCAACTTTAAATTAGGCAAAGAATGGAAATAAAATGTACTTATCAAAACCTGATATGCTCAGTTCAGTTATTCCATGAAAAGCTTTTTTAGAATCAACCATCAAATCTTGCTTCACATGTCTAAGCATAGACAGATTTCGTAAAATACACCAGGGCCAGTGGATAGTGTAAACCACCTGATAACTTGATGACATCACAGACCACTCAAATGTGGCAAAATCATGTGAATAATATTACTCACCAATTCTTGTATTTCACTTTTATTTGAGGAATGAACACCCATGATAAATGGTGTTGGCGTACTTAATACTTCCAACAAAGCATTTGGCAGTACAGGAATATATACATAACTGTGTGAGAAAAAAGAATCCTATGTATCAGTCTAAAAGAACGATAATAACTGTATTTGAACTCCTAGTACTGAATGACAGAGGTGTGTCTATGGGCAAACTAAGTCACATATTAAATGATTCAGTTTGCAGTAAATGCAATGTTTTGTTAATGCATGCTTCTATTCCACACACACTTCTAATACTCTATAAGCAAATACGGTATTATGAAAAAGACAATATATGATTTAGGATATTTAAATTAGGTATAATAATTAAATTGTCGCTTTGATTGGTTATTAGCCAATTACCGTAAAATCTGTATTAGAAGTCGCATTTTTAATAGAAGTCACACACATTCTTTTTGAACAATTGAGAACCAAAAAAATTCACCATTTCTCATATGTGTAGACGCTCTAACAGAAGCTGCATCCCTTCCGATGCCTTGTACCATTTTAATAGTATCCGCGGCTTTCAATACAGATTTTACAGTAATTGACAATATTGACAAAGTTCGCATTACATTCAATACTACCGTATAATTTACATACCTATACTTCAATGGAAATAAGATTGCCAACAACGCTGTACTAGCATCTGTGAGTCTGGAGTAACTACTTGATAGAAATAAAACCTTGCTGTCTGTCATTGCTGCACAGAATAGACATAGCACATTGTGGATACCTGCAATCAAACAGACAAATCAACTTCACAGGAAAAAGATGTACTGGTAATATCACCACCTTTTATTTGCTCATAAATCTACAATAGTGACATTCAATGTATAGACACATCGCCTTGTACACAAATATAAAAAAAAGAAAAGAAATTCACTGCTAGAATTGACTAGCAATTATTTTTTTTAGGCAATGAACTAATTTGTTGCACTTTTAACTTTGTTTTCTGTTCAATGGTAATGACATATAATTAAGTTTTTGTTAAAATGCAGTGAAACTTTTTTTTTTATCCAGTAATTGATTGAACATAATAACACATATACTTCAGAGTACAAGCTA